AAACCAATTAAAATAAAAAGTTAAAGGTTCAACCAGTTTCAAATTGGAGTCAAACCAAATATAATAAAATAATGTAATTAAAATAAAAACTCATCAATAAGAAATAGTAATAAGATATAAATATAAAATTTAAAAAGAAATAAGAATAAAAAATTTACAAGTTAAAAAAATAATATAAATACATGTAAATATGAAACTTTAATTAATAAGAAATGGAAACGTGAATGAGTAGTGTCAAGCAAACAAAACGTGTATGGAGAAGTGGGATGAACTGATAAATGGAAACGTGAATGAGTAGTGTCAAGCAAACAAAACGTGTATGGGGAAGTGGGATGAACTGATAAACTGACACCTCATTTGAGTAAAAAATTCAATAATACTATTATGGCTCGTGGTTTGAAACTTTGAATAGCAGTAGTTAATCATTTTATTCCCCATCTTCACAACCTCACCTTTTATCCGGTTCATCCTCTCTTTCTCTAGCGACAACAACCCCACTAGCACGAGACAAAGGCTATGGCAAGTGATGGACAGCAACTGAGAGGAGGACTTCGATTTATCAAAGGCAGTGTAGAGCTGGTGGTGAAGCAGAATTGCAAACGAAACCCACAAAAAGCCAAGAAGGTTGAAGACAAGACCCCCAAACAACAAACACATGGAGTTTGCAAGCAAGAACGAACTACCGAGAACCTTGTCACATCAAGAAGGTTGAAAGTTTGTTCTTTTCTTTTTAAGTGGATCATGGACAAGAGATCATAATCGAGAGGCAAGAGGCTTCGGCATTTTTTTTTTCAAAAAAATTTTTTATGCAAGCCACCCAACCTGTGAGGTTGTGTGAGTTAACCCCAAGTCACCTGAGTTAACTTAAGTTAATTAGCATCCAAAGAAAACACAAAACCTGATTGAATGCACTGCTGATTCTCTGATTTACCGTTTTGGGCCTGTTTTACAACCCATACTAAATACAAGAGTGTAACTGCTTGAACTTAGAAGGTAGAATTAGCCAACAAACTTCAAAGAGGGCGAAAAGTATAAATGGTTGATAAAGTTGGTACCAATTGTACCACGTTGCATGCCAAACATTTAGGCAGTTCACAATGCTGTGCAACAGAAAATTCCCAGTGCATGTCATCATCACAGACGCAGGACTTGTAGGTTCTGATATGGTCCCTCCATTCCATTGTTCGGCTTTTGATGTGACATTCATCACGTCAAGCTTGCCGAACATGAGAATGATTATGGATGGTGCCGTCGGATATGATGAGGTTGAACTAATTAATGAATGAACACGAAGACTCTGCCACTCCATTTCCTTGATTCTTGTCATTTGGTTGCTGCATGCCAAAACACTAATCTGAACGGTACGTACGTAGGTTGTGGATACATCCTTTTTATATCAGGATATGAGAGCAGCTTACTGATGCTAAATCTTTAGCAATGCTTCACCTACTAGTACCACGTCAATTAATGAGCAGCAGTTTTCAACCGCGTTTGATTTATTATACTGCTGACCATATTTATTATTATTATTTTTAGTAAATCATCCATCATGAGGGCTTTGCTTTGTAATGAGAATAAAATAGAGGGAAGAGAAAAGGTCATGAGAAAAAAAAAAATTAAAAGGAAACACATTTTCAACTATTTTTGCCCCTAATTTTTCTCTCAGGGTGGAGAAAACTAGAGGAAGAATGTGTATTTTCCCCCTACCTTTCTCCTATAGTTTTGTTCCTCCGGAGTATTTTCCTTCTGTTCCAGATGAAGGACAAATGTAAATCCATGCCATGACCATGAGGGACAGATCGTGCCAAGCGATTTCGTTTGACCACATTAATGAGGTGATGCATGCTCATGGTTAGGTATATATAATGCAAGACTCCCATGCCACTCACAAATGGGGGAACGAAAATTCCAGAGGAAATTGAACTGTGTGCTGGAGTAGTGACCCTTTCCACTACATTAATGAACATTATTCCCTCCAAACTAAAGTATAGACATTGATAACTAATTGATTATTCTGAAAAAATGTTAGTTGAAATTTTATTTAAAAAAAATTACACATTTTCAATTATACTTTCATTAAATATCCTATATAAGTACCTTGATAATTACAATTAAAATTTCAAAACATCATTTTTTAACAAGAATAATAAATGAAGCAGAAGTATAGTTAAAAAATAATTATAAAAGTTATCTAATACTTAATATTTTGAACCAAGCAAGACTTTTAGAAGATGCTTTATATTGTAGTATAGAGGAAGTACTATAATGCATGCCATCGATCTTTAAACTTTAAAGTCATGAACATAAACAATGGCATAATGAAGCTTTGTATCAATTGTCAATTTGTTTCCATTCTTGATTTGATCTATTAAGTTTAATTTTTATCGATTTGGTTCTTAAAAATGTAAATTATTTTTTGAGGAGTTGAATATTTAAAAATGTAATGCATTTTTTGTCTATTATTACCTTTTTTTTAACGTGTCCCCATTGATAATGACTTTATATTTATTGTAGGATGTTTAATAGAGGTGAATATAAAAAGATGAGGTTAATTTGAAAGTAGGTAACTACTTTTTTAAAGATAAAATTTGATTAGAAACGCCTTACATTTTTGAACGGAGGGAGTACTAGTTATTGATTTGGTTTTTATTGTTCAAAAATAGGTAATATTGTTAAAATTTGCTAATATGAATAATAAAATATTGATGACAACAATATAGGTTCATGAAAACAAATGTAATTATTTAGGTAGTTAGAAAAAAAGGATGAGAAATTTTTAAAAAGTACAAAAGAACAAAAGTAGCGTAAGAGATTGATAAAAATTAAGCTAATTCAAGGGTTAATTTATTTTTATTTAGTTACATATATATGCCAAATCTTCAATATAATTTAAGCATTAGATTAATTTGGGTAGGGCTGTGTAAGCCATTAACCAAGTGACGCAATTGCCTTAAACCTAAAAAAATAATAATTTCTAAGTACTGCTATTATATATGTGTGTGTAATTGATATTTGTATTATTATATATTTAATTGTAGATAAAAAAAGAATAAAAAGTATTAATTGTTCTTTCTATTGAAAAATTTCAATCATTCACAGTATAACATTTATTCTAAACCCTAAAATTTTGACAAATATCAATATCAAGACCTTGTAGTTTTAAACTATCAAAGCGACATCTTTAACTCTTAGACTTAATTATACTCCTTACGTTCAAAAATATAAGGTATTTCTAATCAAATTTCATCTTTTAATAAAGTAATTATCTATTTTTCAACTAACTCTATTTTTTTATATTCACCCCTATTAAATACCTTACAATAAATGTAAAATTATTATCAATAGGGGCAATTTTATAAAAAGGCAATGATTGCGTTTCAAAAAACAAAAAATATCTTATATTTTTAAACATCCAACTCTTTAAAAAATGCCTTATATTTTTTAATGAAAGGAATATATTTTTTGTTAAAAAATATATTGTCATCCCATATTAGTGTTAAAATTCACATTCTATTCCAATGTATAAGATGGAGTAGGAGCACTTTGTCAACATTAATTTCTACCTCACTATTAAATTATGTTAGTATTTTATTAAAATTACTATATTATAAAATTCTAATATATGATTTTTGTAAAAAATGATGAGTGGATATTTTTTAAAGGGGCAATTATATATGTTAAGCTTTACTAATAATTTCACCTCAGGCCTCCAAACTTCTTCACGCGGCCCTGAATTTGAATACCAATTTGTGTTTAAAAATTTAAAGAACTAATGTGACAGTTAAAAAATATAATGAATTAAATAAAAAGAAATTAAACTTGAAAAAAACAAACTAGTAAAAAGTTTCATTATCCATAGAACAATTATATAAAAATGAAACCACGCAGGGATGCATAATTTTGTCCCCCATAATAATCGCCCATTACAAATTTTACCAAACCAATCACATGATTGAATTTGATGTTGCAGTAGGAAATTGAGCAGGGAACTGGGGAAAATGGAAGGTTGTGAATTGGCTGGCCACCAGCTGTAAAGAAGAGTCCATTTATTCTATCAGGAACGCATTTGGTGTGCCAGATCCGGATCGTTTAGATTTAATTTAGGTGATTTAGATTTAAAATAAAAAAATTTAATAAATGAACGCGGTCTCATTCTGATTCAATCATTCAATGAATCAGCTATCTCACGAAACAAACAAACGGATTTGAGTTGTCTCGTCTCTTGTGTGGTTCTCTTTCAGTCTTTCCCTTTCCCTCACTAGACACACCACAGTCAAAGTGGTCAAAACAAGTTGTCGCCTTCGCCTCCCTAGTTCCTATGTCCGTTCATGTTCCGCTTTCTTCTTCCGAACTGCGTGTATGAGGATGCCGTGAGTCAAATTGGTCACACATGTGCTAGCTGTAATTAATTGTGTGGTAGTAACCAGCATAGACAACAAAACAGACGTCAGGGCAAAACAAAACTCTGAGATTCCTCTCCGATTTCATTTTAGGGGTCCCACCACCCACGCGCTTTACCCACAAAATTCCCCGACCAACCTCTCATGGATTATTGCACGATAATATTTAATGTAGTCGCTTCCTTCCCATCACTTCGCATCCCATTTCGTTGTTTATCGCCAGAGGCCCTTTGCCGCCTCTTTACTGTCTCCGGTACTTCTTCTTCCCTCAATCTCTTCTATTTCCTCTTTTCCTTTGTCACTGCGCTCAATGTGCATTGTTAGCCCTTCTACTTGATGTTCATATACCTGCATTCCCTGAAGCGTCCTCTTTCTGTCCCTCCGTCTGGTATCTTCTCCTAGAATATTGCTTGATTTGTTGTTACTCCGCCACAATACAAGTCCCAAGTTCTGTTCCACGAAAAGCTTTTTCTTGAAATCACTGTCTTTCTCCACTTCCGGAAAAACTTTTGCCGACTAGCATCGCGGTTATTTTGAAACTTAACCTCGTGTCCTCTTATTACATTTTTGTTCTTGTTTCTCACCATCTGTATGCTATAGGTCATTGCGCACTTGGATTCATGTTCATATCTCCTGCTCTGCTTTTATGTAATCGCCAAGTTTTTTTGCCCCCAATTTCATGCAGAATGGACACCAGGAAAGAATATTTGGGTTCCACTTTTCGTTTTCATCTATAAGTTATTTTTAAGGCTTTTTTCCCCCTTTTCCTGCAAATAACATAATGACTCTGAGTGCAACCTCAAATGTTTCCAACTATTTGGCGCCTTGATCATTTTGAAGCTTGAATTTTGTCCCTTTTGGTTTCTTTCATAATTCTGTCACCGACGAGGACATCATCGGCCTTGTTTATTCGTTTCCTCTTACCACGTTAACAATTAATACGCTTGAATAGTCAAGGCTCTTTTTTCGCCTGTCAGTATTGTTTAATCTCTGCTTCCTTTTTTGCATCAGCTATGGGAATCAAGAATAGGCCATTCCACGGCATTATCCATGATGTTAAAGGAAGAGCTGCATGCTACAAACAAGATTGGACTGGCGCAATTTGTGCTGGCGTGAAGTAACACTCATTTATGATGTCAAAGATCTCTCTTCTTCCTTTTTGAGTTTGCATAGTTCTGATTTTCTGTTGTCTGATCTGCGCCAGGATATTGGCTCCTACTTTCTACATGTTCTTCGCTTCTGCTCTCCCCGTGATTGCCTTTGGAGAACAACTTAATAAGGATACAGGTAAACAACCTGTTTGGTCTATTATTGCTTCTAATCTCTTGGTAGATATTATGTCAAAAAGTATCAAAAACTGAGTTTCAAAATTGAATAACATGTTTTTCCAGACGGAAGCTTGAGCACAGTGGAAACATTAGCATCAACTGCTATTTGCGGAATTATCCATTCCATGGTTGGTGGACAGCCTTTGTTGATTTTGGGGGTCGCTGAACCCACTATTATAATGTATGGTTATCTGTACGAGTTTTGCAAAAAGAGGCCAGAGCTGGGTGCTAATTTGTTTCTAGCTTGGGTTGGTTGGTATGAAACTAAACACAATTCTGCCTGTCTTCCTCATCCTCCCCAACACTTAAATGCTTCGATTTAATATATTTTGCTCCTAAATATGTTCCTTTGATTTGCAGGGTCTGTGTGTGGACTGGACTCATGTTGATTCTGCTTGCAATTTTCAATGCTTGCACAGTTATTACTAGGTTTACTAGAATCGCTGGGGAATTATTTGGCATGTTAATTACTGTCCTATTCTTTCAACAAGCTATAAGGGTATTGCCTTTTCGCTGTAGTAAACGAGATTTACAATTTCGCATCTCAGAAATCAACCTCTCAATTCTTTGAAATTGAACCACAGGGACTACTAGGCGAGTTTGGTGTTCCCAAAGATGTAGATCCATCTGCGCAGGAATTTCAATTCCAATGGCTGTATACGAATGGATTGCTTGCTACCATTTTTGCTTTTGGGTTACTGCTAACTGCAATAAAAAGTAGAAGAGCAAGATCATGGCGATATGGAACTGGTACACAAATGATATACAAATAGCAACCGCATAAGACCATAGACAAAAGGCTTATTCTTTTTTAGACATGATTTAGCTATGATTACTGTTATATCTTCATTGCTGCATCAAATGTAGGATGGCTACGAGGTCTTGTTGCAGATTATGGAGTTCCATTGATGGTTGTGTTATGGACTCTGTTATCTTATGTTGTACCAAACAAGCTGCCAGATGGAGTTCCTAGAAGGTTGTATTGTCCCTTTCCTTGGGAGTCCGTGTCTCTGTACCACTGGACAGTAGTGAAGGTATTATTTTATATATGCATACTTAAACAAGCATGTGCGTGTTGTGTTAAGCTGTGATTAGAATACGGAAGCCCTAGAAATGATTTGACAGTTAGCTACAAAATGCAGGATATGGCAAAGGTACCAGTGGTTTATATCTTTGCTGCAATTGTTCCAGCTGTGATGATAGCAGGATTATACTTCTTTGATCATAGTGTAGCCTCCCAGATGGCTCAACAGAAGGAGTTCAACCTTCAAAAGCCATCAGCCTACCACTATGATATGTTTTTGCTTGGAATTTTGGTGTGTTATTTTTGTCCTAAAATGCTTGCTTTTCTGCTCCATGAATTCATGCACTTGACTGATGCATAAATGTTTATGCTATCTAGACTCTTATTTGTGGTCTTCTTGGGCTTCCGCCGTCAAATGGAGTCCTTCCTCAGTCACCAATGCATACAAAAAGTCTTGCGGTTCTTAAGAGGGAGGCAAGAATCATTTATTGCATGAATACTGCTGTAGCTTCTTGATCAATTATATGATTTTTCTCTTAAAAAATAACCCAATGTGCAGCTGATCAGAAAGAAGGTGGTACAGAGCGCCAAAGAATGCATCAAGTACCAAAGGAGCGACTCTGAGTTATATGGAAAGATGGAGGCAGTGGTCATGGAAATGGATACAGCCCCTACAGTAAGTACCATAGGCCTAGAAACTGAATATGATTTGAACTTGAATAGTTATTGATATAAACAAGCTTTTGCATATGGCATAGGATAAGGAGTTAGAGACTTTGAAGGAGGCTGTAACGAAACATGGGGACAAGGATGGTGAAAAAGGCAAATTTGATCCTGAGGTACACCTAGATGCCTATTTGCCAGTTAGAGTAAACGAGCAAAGAATGAGCAATGCCTTGCAGTCACTCCTTGTGGGGGCATCAATTTTTGGCATCCCCATCATCAAAAGGATTCCAACCTCTGTTCTATGGGGATATTTTGCTTACATGGCCATTGATAGTCTCCCAGGGAATCAATTCTGGGAAAGAATTCTGCTTCTTTTCATCACTCCAAGCAGGAGATACAAGTTAGTCGCTTCACAAGTTTACGAAGATGATCTTCTGTATAGTCAGTTTCTCTCATTGTTTTAATGTGGTGATTTCTGTGTGTTGAGCAGAATCTTAGCAGGTTCTCATGCTTCATTCGTGGAGTCAGTTCCATTCAAGACCATAGCTGCATTCACAGTGCTGCAGCTTGTTTATTTGGTGGTGTGCTGGGGCGTGACATGGATCCCTATTGGTGGAATATTGTTTCCGCTACCTTTCTTCCTTCTCATATGCATAAGAGAGCATTTGCTCCCCAAGTTATTCGATCCAAGCCATCTTCAGGAGCTAGATGCTTCTGAGTACGAGGAAATTGCTGGTGACCCGCTTGTTTCCCGTAACATATCATTTGTGGTAAGTCTTTCTTTCTTTCACCAGCACTTATGTTTCTTAATAATAATTCAAATATTGATTTTGAAAAAATTACACTTTTTCCTTCTGGAGTTACAGGATATGCTACACTTTGAAGATATTTTAATCATGTTCTGACTTGAAAGAGTAGTTTTTTGTGTATTTACATAATAAATAGGACTGTGTAATTTAAATATTTCTATGAAAAAGAGGGATTTATAATAATTTTACTCTGGATGTTAAGACGTTTTCTGTTTTTTGTGTGCACGTTTCAATGGAAGCTGTATAACATTGAGCTGCAAATGTTAATTTAGGACAAGGTTTCGGCTGATGCTGATAATGATAAGGATTCTGAAGATATCTATGATGCCGAGATGTTGGATGAGATGACAACCAGCAGGGGAGAGGTGAAACTCAGAACTGTAAGCTTCAACGGTAGAAACCTCAGCTTTAACGGTAGAAACCTCAGCTTCAACGGTAGAAACCACAGCTTCAATGATCGAAACCTCAGCTTCAACAGTAGAAACCAAAGCTTCAACAACAGAAACCTCAGCCTCAACGGTAGAAACCGCAGCTTCAACAGTAAAAACCTCAGCTTCAACGGTAGAAACCAGAGCTTCAATGATAGAAATCACAGCTCCAATGAAGACAGACATTATTAGGTGATACACAGATAATAAAATCATTGGCAGTTTACTGTAACTTATCTATTTCTAGTTTCTAGTAAAAATGCACGTGTCAGGAATCAATATGGCTTGGTTTTGAATAGGTAAAACTTCTGCAGGGAATTGTTGGGTTTTGATATAAGAACATGAAGATGCTATGGAGATTGGAGAGCAACACTCGGGATTCCTTTGTGGCAAATCGAAGTTGAAGATAATCTTCTCCGGAAAATGAAAGGAGAAAGGAAAAGGGCAGCTGCATGGAAAGAGAGAGGCGATGCAGCAAGGATGAATAAACTTATAATCTCGGATGAATTTTTGAGAACGAATTCTTTTAGCAGGAAAAAGCATCAGAATGTGGAGATCAAGAGGTTAGGTGGAGTTTACGACTTTTTGGCGAGTTAGGTCAATCTATGAATATATTTGGTGTTAGGCTTGGGCCTCACGTCGAGGTCGAGTGCAGCTGGTTCACCAGTAACATTGTTCATATTATTTTTTATTCTTTACATATTGTAGTATATTTAGCTATTTTTTCTCCTTTATTCTATGATCTCCAGTTTTTCTTTTCAGTTTTATATATTTCATTTTTTATTGAAACCTGAGAAAATACGAATACTCGACCAAAAACATCCTTGACTTGATAATTTCTTTTATACTCTTAAAATGAAAATTTTAGAAGTCTGGAGCAATTTCAGGCAAAATCTCATTGATGAACAAATAAATGGGAGGATGGGTTTAGGAGAAAAAAATAAATTATTCCTTTTCGTTAAAACTCGTGGGAACCTATCATGCATTTACATGTATCTCCAGTTTAGCTTATTTACAAGTTTACAACTATGGCTGAGACTATGATTTAGAAAAAGTCAGATGACTTCTTTTTTGTTAAAAAAAAAAATTAGTTTTATGACAATAATAATCCATCTAGTATCTAGTTTTAGTATCTAATTCTAGCAACTATTTCGGTCTCTGCACATCTCTACCTGCCTTCGTTGGCCATTGCCATTGACTCATGAGCTCCATCACGTGCAAGAATGAGATGATCACCATCTCGTATAAGTTTTATATCCTCAATCTGAGCTCCTTCTGTAGTCAAGATTTTGTTGGCCAAAAAGTCGAACTTTTTCACACCCATGTCTATCAGCTCTTGAAGGGACTTGGGCAGAAACACGAGCTTCCCACTATGGTCGCCTTTTTCTGGACAACTCAAAATTACTCTGGCTGGGAATCCATTCAGGTTCTCCTCAACGCTAATATTATCTTGTGATGCATTGGCTTGATCTGCATAATTTTGAATATCAAGAACAAGTGCGTTAAGGGAGGAAACTGATGGTTAAGGTGAGTGCATACCGCGATTAGCAGCAGCCGACATGATCCCAAAGAAGGAATTGTGAAAATGGTTTGCTCTTCGCCTTGGATGATTCTCCAACCAAGTCACGTCTTTACGAGCGCAGGTCGTTGGTTCGCTTGGAAACTTCCTGAGGCAGTTGGTGTAATCCATTGTCCTTGGAGTAACTAGGGGTCTTTTTCCCTCCCGAATGTTGCGGAACATCTCTACGATATCTTCATGCTCTTGATGATCTGCCAAAGCCCGAGGAGTCCATCCATGAACGTCTGGCTTATCAATATCTGCTCCGTGTTGCAGAAGGAACTTCACTATATCAGTGTTTCCATCGCATACTGCCGTGTGAAGTGCTGTGGTCCCGTTGCTTTTGGGCTGCGTCACGTCCCCACCGTATCTTACAATTTCTTTGAGCAATTCCAAGTTGTTTTGCTCCACAGCAGTGCATGCAAGATGCCCTACATCCGCACAAGATATGTCTCCACCATTGTCTATGAGAAGTTTTATCACAGATTCATGCCCTCCCAACATGGCTTCCCATAGTGGGATACTTCCATTTAAATCTGCATAAATAAGAACAATTGGCAATGAGAAGGAGCCCAAAATTGGTTGGTTAAGGTGGGTAACCACAATGCTCCGTTACCGGGATCGTCTTCCACAATTTTAAAGGGATGAAAAAGAAGAGAATCTCTACCTTTCCTGTTAGGATCAGCTCCATATTCTAGAAGCAGAACAACACAATGTTCGTTGCCTCTGGATGCGGCAATATGCTGTTACAGGAGTCGGTAAAGCGGTAAGTTTCTAGATTAGACTTGGTACATATGCTTGTGCATCCATAGAGATGAAGGAAAAAACCTGCTTACCAGTGATGTCCTTCCATTCTTGTCTGCTTCGTTTGGATCTGAACCCCCCTTCAGCAATTGATGCAACAACAGATCATCGTCTCTGTTTGCAGCAAAGCATGGACTGACAGGCAAATCCATTTTGCCCCGAGCAAGCATGGCCTCCGTTTCTGCCAAAACTCCGTCCATCATTGGATCACTTGATTCCTTCAAATGCTGCAACAGGTTATAGCGAAAATCACCATAAGATACACCAAAATTTCCTCCAGGAAAAGCCAGCAGTATGTTTCGTTCTAAAGCCTTGATTTTTATAATATGAAATTAATTATCGTTCTTACGAGGATGTACATTTTCACTTAGACAAAAGCAAGCAAGACATTTAATTTTTGTACCTAAAACTTAATTTGCGGGTCATCTAAAATCATTTTAAGGAACAAGCAATCATGGAATAAGTTATATTTTAGCAGATAAATCATAGGGTGTGAAAGGAGGACGCATCTGCAACATGTTATACAGTCTATGATTTTGGACCAGGGAAAAAATTCAAAAGCCGAATCAAGAAATCTAGATATTAGGTAATTTGAAGAGCAGTCATGACTAAGAAACTAAATAATGAAAAAAAAGAATGTTTGAGTAGAAGACCATCTGAAAAAGATTAAAATATATCTTCTTATAGGAATAAGTTGGCCCAAATATTATATACCTGAAGAAAATTACTCATGATTATTGTCCCATCTCCAACATTTGCATTAGCAAGATTTAGAAATGCAGTGCGGTTCAGACGTAAAAGCTGGCTCAATCGTTTGGTTCGAACTGTAAAGAGCTGTGGCCTGTAACATAACACCCCTATCTCTCCAACCACATCTCCTATCTTTGCCTCGCCAACAACCTTCAATAATTGCAGGCAACATGATTTGTTAGCTATTGTGATAAGTCTCATTATCATTCCTATGACAATCGGACAAAGCAAAGCAGTAAAGATTCACGCAAACTCTACTTCAAATAAACTTGCCTGTTCTATACCATTCCTTTGGATGATGAGTTCCTGCAGGTTACAAGAAAATTTGAGATAGTTTAATTTTTCTTTTCTAGAGAAAGAGTTGAAATGAGAACGAATATTATTTAAAGTGAATAGACATTATTTAGTGAAAGACGCCTGCTTGAACAGAGCAAATACAAGGATTGATATTCACACTTCGTAGTTCATATACTCCATTGAAAAGAAACCAGCCAGCCAAAATCGTAATATGACAATGTTCTTATCACACTCGTGAGTCGTGTCAATCAGTTTTATTTTCAGCAATCAATTGGAGTAGCTTGATCCATGAAGTCGTGTCAATCAAAAATGTTTTCTAAATGCCAACTCAAAAAATATATAGAATGATGACAGGCTAAAGGAGAACAGGGAATAAAATGTATCTTACAGCTGCGCCTGTGACCAATATATAGAAGTCTGTCGGTGCTTCATTCTGTAAAATCACATCTTCCTTTGGAGGAAAGTACTCAGCTTTCATTTCCGTGACCTTCAAAAAGTTCAAGACATGTCCTCATGAGATGATCCATGCAAGCATCCGAAAGACAGAAAAACAAGAAGCACGCATATAAAATTTTTGTTCCAGGGAGCTTCCAGGTTTATGCATTACAGTATTGTATTAAACGTAAGAAATTCATCAGTCAAGAAAAGTGTAGAAGTCTCTTGGGAGGATCCCTATATCTACAGGAATAGAAATCCAAGTTCACAGCGCAATGATCATGCTTTGAGTCCATTTTTACTTCCTCAAATGTTGCTCTTAACATTATTTTGAATCCTCCTTCACCAAAAACATAGTATGAAATGCGGTTGATTAAAGTCCTTTTGCACTCGAAGAAGTTTGTGTTGTTTTCATATTAACACCAACAGAATTGAAGGACAAAGAAAGATTACCAGTTGAAAAAGTAGGTCATTGGACACTCCATAAAATAAGTAGACTTTGTCAACAAGTGAATAGAAGAGGTAGTGTGATATGCTGGATCGAATCGCTTTGGGAAGAGAATCAATAACCTCTTGATGCTGCAGCCCTTCTAAATCTGTTCTGTACTTCATAAACAAATGAGCAAGCATCTGCTCTTGCAAGCGGACGGGCAACTGGTTCCGTTGTGCAAAACCTGTGGCAGCTTGGACAGTGTGCCTCTGATGTCCCAGGAAAAGAGGAATGCCTTTAAAACTATACTTAATAAATTTCTTAAAATGAGTGTGACATTGGTCATAAACTGAAGCCAGATTTCAATATAGTTACTCGCTTTTTTAGGAAAAGTTTTTGGCCAAAAAAACTAAAGATCTTAGAAGCAATAGTTGTGAAGAATAAAGCGATATGACGAAAAATACTCACATATGTCCTGGTTCGACTTGTGATATGGACAAGCATATTAGTCATATTTCCTATTAGATATGAGTTAAGTCCAAGAATGTAGAAAATGTAGAAAATGTCAAACGTCATCTCCTTTGTATTTACAGGATGCAAATCACCGTAACCAACCGTTGAAAGAGTAACTAAGGCCCAGTATACTGACGTTATATAGTGTCCCCACAGATGCATCTGGTCGCCATTGGCAACTAGCCCAAACCATGTGGTTTTTATGTCATGATTTGCGGCAAGAAAATAAAAAAAGCAGGCGGCAAAATGCACTGAAAACATAGTAACCTACAATTGCATCAAAAGTATATCATAAGATGGATTTGTCAACCAAGTCGCAGTTTATATGTATGAAACTGAATTTGACATTAAAAATGGCGCAGAAAATACTCACACATATCAGCTTCGAGCAGCGGACCCAGATGTAGTTAAAATTCCTGTCCTTTTCTAATCTGATACGTTGAAGAAAGAGGGAAGTGGTACTTAATCAGTCCCAATACAAGTCAGAAGGCGAGAGAAAGCGAAAAACAAAGCAGAACAAATCTCCCGTCTCGTCTCAAGCTTGACTTTAGTTAGTTTAATTTGCAAAAGCAAGGCAATTGTCCTCGAATAAGTTATGTTACATCGAATTTGGTGAGGGAAAGTTTTCACATTACCTTGCAAACAAAGCACTAACTCTACGGAGACGCCAGAGACGCAGCATGTTAAAGAGCCCGTATGTCTGAAGAAGCGTGGGCAGTACTTTGCGAGCAAGTTCAAAAGGGATGGTAGAGATGACATCAAAGATTAACCAGGTTTTGGCGTATCTGAGTGCAATCAGTCTCGGGTTGTCGATAAAGAGATAAGAACTTTTGTCGAGGTAGGCAACAAAGAAGGTCAGAACAATGTCAATGGCAAAAAAGCCGTTGACAACATTATCTGTTATGGCAAGAGGACCCTTAGATTCATCAAGGAATCCAAATTCAAAGGGGCAAACCCATGCAGTGTAGAAAACT